TTACACAAATCTAATGAAATAACACATTGCTTTAGATGTGAATGAGGAATACAAATAGCCGTGCGTAATTCCGCAGCGCAGAGCCTGCCACAGCAATAGGTCACACATCCCTGTTGCGTAAAGTGTATATTTATAGAGCCTTTGACAGTCCAGGACCACAAAGCGCTTCACATTTTAAAAACATACAGATCAAAATAATACACACACAAGTCAGATTTAATAGAAGGTTCTCATCATGAGCTGTGATTTATTCGAAGTTTGCGTGTTTCCATTAGACTTTTTCTGATGCGCAAATTCAAATTTTGAAACATGATCCTCAATGAAAACACAGCATATAATTTTGCCAGAGGGAATATGTTTATTGTTGTCCATATCTTGAATTTCATGCGTGTTTTGGCGTGTTGTGCCGAAGGTTGAGTTCAGCGTATAGATTTACACCACGTCCAGACCTGGCGTACATTTTTTGCGTATTGTACGCTCACGTCCAGATAGATAAATGCGGAAAAGTGTAATATTTTACGTACGCCTCATTTACCCTGATTTGGCCGTACGCAAGTTTCATACATGAGGCCCACAGTGTGTCTCACACAGGCCTAGAGTTTACCTCATCAGTGCGAGGCGAGCCTGGCCTGACTGCGCTCTCCTCCTCTGGGACCTACGGGCCCGGGCCTCTGGCTACTCTACCTCACAAAGTTCACGCTGAACTGTCTTAAAACTAAAATGAAAAAGGCTGCTCTGTTGTGAATGTTTTGAGAGCGTTGTCAATCTTTAAGACGAGGAATAGCTGGTTGTTCTCGGGAACGAGCTTCACGCTGTGTGATATGATATTGGACAAAATTGTTCAGCCAATAAACAGGACTATATTTGGAGCAACGTAGGAACGTGATGACGCTCAGGGGGTTATATTTTCTTAAAACATTAGAACGCAACATTTAGGCTTTAGCAATAATTTGTGTATAAAAATAACAATATTTAAATTATGACTTTTAATAAAAAAGGCTAATGACTTGAGAGGCGAAGAACAAATTTGAGTAGGCCAAGAAAAAAACTGGTAGGCACCGGCCTACCCAGGCCTATCCCTGCCGCCGCGGCTGGCGCACAGGCTCTTCTGTCTTTAGGACAGATAGATTTCAGATAGAAATTGCTACTCAAAAGGCGCTCTTAGACGCTGCTGTTGTAGCGAGGGCTGAGGCAGCCTCATCCCGCTCCCGATCTCGGCGGAGTTTTTGAAGTGTACAGTAACTCTACCGAATACAATTACTCAAAATGAGTATTCTAACAATTTGAAAGTTATACCAGTTATACCACTTACTTTGAAATAGCATTCAGTAGCGACACTTTTAAACATAAAACACATTCTCACGATATTGCTAATACAAAGTTATGATGGGGGGATAACTTTCTTTCTCCGTGTTTTACAAATATAATGGAGTTGGCTGATGAATGTCTGTTTAGTTTCTGAACTGTATTGAACTAGATTGACCAGGGCTCGAGTCCACAGGAATGTCAAAAATCCAGTTCATCTTCACATATGCAAAACATCTTCACATAGCCTATCACTCAGGCGAGCAAAAACCAAGCACGTTTTCTCCAGTGTTAAAAAAAAAAAACTTAGTAATTAGGCCAACACATTTAAAATAGTTGCTAGACTGTAGTAAACTGTTGTTCAATCTAAAGAGACCAAAGACACGATTAATACAATAAAATTATTTATTTGTTTGGCGCGTTGACCCCGGCAGTGACACTTGCAGCAATGAGATCGATTGCATCTGAAGATGATCTCAGATCCCCCGGGGTCAATCACTGGTGGTGGCTAGAGTATGGTGTGAATGGGGCGTAGGCGGAGCAGGAGCCGGAGTGGGAGCCTAGAGCGGGAGCCAGAGCGGGAGCCAAGAGCCAGAGGGGGTGCTGGGGAGGTGGTGGGTGTTTAAGAGCCTCAGGAAGCGTTGTTTGTCAGGAAGTGGCTGCCTTTTAAACTGCCCGCTTTGCTCTGAGAGGGTTGGCAGGAGGCTGGCCTGGCTGTGCGATTGGCTGAGGCTCGAGGCTGGCAGAGCTGTGTGATTGGCTGAGGCTCGAGGCTGGCAGGCACTCGGTCTTTCAGTCTGAACCTGCGCATTCAGCTTCATTAAAATTCACAATCTGCACCAACCAAACTGCAGGAAAAAAATGCAACTTTATTCAGTAACGGAGTAATCTGATTCATATACTTCCCCCGCTAATAAAAATTGAGGATTGGCCGGGGCTCGAACCCCGATCGTCCAAGCGAAAGTCTTGGACAATCCTGCTACGCCACACAGGCGCTGGAGAAAACACTGGATCTAATAGCAGAGAGCGCTGAGTGAATGAGCCGTGCGTATGTGCGGGACGCTTAAAATGCCTTATATGCAAGTTAACGCAAATGTTTGCCATATGATCTGCTACTCCTGTGCATTTTAGAATTCCTAATTAATGGTAGCTATATATAATATGTGTAGTTTACATTTTTGTCATTATACACAGCCTATATATTGCTAATCAAAGTAAAAGTATTCAGAATACAGTGTACACTCGTGTTTGTTTTGTTCCAATGTTTCACGTTCAATAACGCACTTGCTGCTGGCTATCCCATACTGTAGAAGAAGTCAGAAAGGAAGTGTTTTTATTAAAAAATAAGAAGTAAAAATAAGTAATAAAGTAAAATACAATTGTATTGTTACAGTACTTACAATACAGTGCAGTAAGTTAGTACAGTGTTTTACAGAGTCAATCCTTTGACTTTAAACCACGTTTTGATAGGCCCGAAGTGAGCAAAAAATCCTTTTGACAAGGAAAGAAGATAACAAGCTGATAACGTTACGTAATTGCACACAAGCAACCAAAAGGTGTGCAACCAAAATTGCCTCAGACAAGAATCGATCCCAGATCCCCCAGATCCTAACCTGCAACTCAAACCATTCGGCCATCATAGTATCACTAGGCAAATTACGTTTGCACGCAGACTTATACCTGATCGTTTAAGTCGCTGGCAGGGCTAAAGCGGACTTAACCTGCCACCTAGTGGCGATAAGATGTAATATGTTTCACGCAGCTGCGTGATTTATGAAAAGCGTGAGTGAAGACGACAAAACGAAATGGGACCTACTGTATGTTGTCCTTATCTGTACTCAAGGATACATGTAATTACTCAAGGATACATGTAATTACTCAAGGATACATGTAATTACTCAAGGATACATGTAATTACTCAAGGATACATGTAATTACTCAAGGATACATGTAATTACTCAAGGATACATGTAATTACTCAAGGATACATGTAATTACTCAAGGATACATGTAATTAAATGGAACATTCATTTGATTACATATTCTTATGCATAAATATTCTTCTCCCTTCATTTGGGAGAAGAATATTTGGCATACATGATGGTGATTGAAAGAAGAAGAATGACATAAAAGATAAAGACATATTTTTTTTAAGTAATATATTTGAACTAGTCTTTCCCTTTGCATCACCAAGGCCAGTGAGATTTGCTGGAAAAGAAACATTAAACCAATGGAAAGGGGTTGGCCTGTCAAAATTGTGAATTCATTTTGTCTAATCAGGAAGAAGGAGAGTGAATATGAGTTTAACCAGTGCTTGGATCCGGAAACTTTCTCCACTATTTGGAAACGAGCAAAATAAAAGTCTACTTTTTTACAAGCAGACTTTACAAGGAATATCTGGATATGCATTTGATATGTTGTATTGTTCTAAATCTATTGTATAATTCTAAATATGAATATGTAAAGGAGTGTGCGTATACAGTATACTGTATATACTGTTATACTGTAGGTATTGGCAGTAACGCACACACACACACACACACACACACACACACACACACACACACACACACTGTTGTTTGCATCACAGTTTGTGGTGATTAATTAATGTAGTGACACTATCTGAGAATCCATTATATGTGATCTGTTTAAACTTTCCTTTCACTTCTCAGTTACTTGATAATAGTCATATGAGCGCTAATGGATTAACTGACACCTCTATGGTGTCATTAATTAAAAACATGTCAAATTGAATTGTTTCATGACTCCCCTCAATATTAAAACTATACAATATTTACTGCTATCCCCACAGAGATGTACAACAACCTGCTTTCTCAATGATGAAAAACAATCCCTCTGTGTGCAGAGCGACTCATGGCTCTCAAAGATAAAAAGTGATTATTGACTTGTGGCTGCGGTAATGCACACAATATGAAGGTGCTTTATGTGTGTAAATATAAACAGATGGCCCATAGATTAAAGCCCAATGTACATTTGGAAAGAGGAAACATCAAGGTCACACTAAGAGGAAATCATGCCCAGAATAGTTTTACAAACAAGTTAGAGAAAGGAGTGAGATCGCAACAGATGAAATATAGCACTGATATAGCACCTGCATTGGATTGCATTGGATGTGATACATATCAAATACTGTAACACGAGGAAAGGCTCCCAGGGGCCAATGGTAAGGACCTAAATGTTCGTATTTTAATGTCTCATTTCTGATAATTTGTTTACTGATTTGTTTTGTGACAACGGTTAAAAAAAACAACAAAAAACCCATTGTGTTTTATGAATAATTATATTCAAAGATGTGACTCCATGGGCTGATATCTTAAGCCAAATGTACCCACATAGTAATTAACCAGCAACCAAACATCTAATCAGAAGTGAGGCGTTACCGAAGCAGCCAAATTCTGGGACAAAAGTCACCTGATTAGTCCTGGATGCATACTGTAAGCAAAAGCAGCCGTCAGGGCTCGCACACACCAGTCTATGCTCAGATAAAACAACTTGAAACCTGTGTTACCATCAACACGTTTTACAGAGCTTACCACCTACACCTGTTACCGTGACAACCCAAATCAACATGTAATCACAGAACGTCATGATTGATAGTCTTTAAGAAGGAGAAACTGACTCCGCTGTGACCTTCACTTCTCTGAATAGGAGCGCTTTGTGTGGAACAGTGACTCTTAGATTCTACACTGTAGGTATATGAGGCTGGAGCTCTCAGCACTGACCCCACTCGCACACTTAGCGCTGAGATGGATGCTGCAGCCTAATGGGCATGTCCCTGCATATTAACAGGCTGTAAACAGAGAGGTGTCTCCCTCTCCTCTTGGTCTGGTCCGAGGCACGTACTTGGTGTCAGCAGGATGACGGAGGTGACGATCAGCGAGCAGATGACCAGAATGACAAGGAGCGCGATCGCTATTCCCTTCCAGTTCCTCTGCGGCGGGTTGCTGCCCACCAGCTCCTGCAAACACACACAGGAGGCGTCAGAGGCCATGATGAGATATGAGGAGGTTCAATGGACAGCAATCACAACAAGTTTGTTTTGTTAATTATTTTGTTGAAAAATTACTGTGACAGTTTTGAATCCTAGACATTACTAATCAGTAAGTATGCAATGGATACGCTGCAGTAGGTTGAGGAGGTGAACACAGAATAGGCTTTCACACTTTCAACTCAGTACAATGCAGATTTTTACAAACATGGATGGATCACAAAATATTCCAAGATTATTGAGGGAGTACCGTGATAATAATGTGAGGTTAGCCCAACTGTAATATCTCATCTATAAGTATTCAAATAGAGCCTTACACCAGAGAAATGTCCAAAACACATACAGTTTGTTAAACCTACTCTGCCGATGCATTCACTGAGATCTTACTCCATCATTCCCAACAAAGTATCCATCCATTCATTTTCATCCACTCTCATTCTACCAAACAGAGATCCCAGATCGCTCAGTGTTCCCAGGCCCATGTTTGAACACACATGATGCAATAATACAGTCATTGTATTTGACACCTCAAATAAATCGCTGTGACATTCAATTGTGAGCTTGTTTAGGGTTACTGTGATCTGTTTGAGAAAGAAAATAAGCATAATGGTAGAAATCACAGCAAAAGAAAGCTAGAAAGAGGAAACTGTGGAGGAGATAACATTAGGAAGTAGAGAGGGATAAAGGACGAAGTGAAATACAAGACAGAAAAATAGAGGCAGGCAAAGAGAAGAGACACGAGCGGAGGTAAACCCTAATGAGGTGGGCATCAGCGTCCTCCGTACGCAATCCAAAGTGACAGTTGAAAATGGAACCAGTGAAAGGGAAAGAGGCTTAGAGTTGGAGAAACCTTGAGGGCATCCCTTCCCTTTCTGCTCTCCTCCACGAAAGCACAAACAAATGATTTTACTGCACTTTAATACAGTTTTAAGGGAAACCAAATTTGAAGTAATGTCGGTGTCAAAGCTGCACCGGGGGCTGTATGCAATAGGAAAAATAGCCAAGGCAGTCACGTCAAGTTCATTCCCAAATCAAATAATGTGCAGAGGAAATGTACCTGACACATAGTGAAGAGTACGGCAGCCGGCAAGAGTAAGTAAATGAAATGAGCACCGGTTTTACTATATTTTACAGAAGCTGAGTGAGACAGTCCAGTCAGCAGCTTCTGTGAACTCTGAACTTGAGCTTTTGCTCTTTGCTACAGTCTGCATATCTACAGAATACTGTACAAATTTACTTTTTTTCCTATTGGATGTTTGCAGGAGTCAACAAATGCCCTCTCTACTTGGAATCTGAACTAGTGACCTATGGGTTATTTACTGCCTTTCCATAAAGTTATTGATAATCCATCATTCTGCTCACATTTAATGGCTAATGGCATAATGTCAAAATGGATATTTTTATGTCAAATATTTAAACTAATAACTGTAAAAATATACTGTAAAATATAGCCCTAGCTTGTAAATGTAAGTTTGACACCTACATTTCACTTTGTTACAAGCATCTATTCATCTATTCAAGTCTATCTATTCAAGTAATGCTAATTTAAAGCTGAATTGAGCTCATAGTCTGTGTATTAGGAGTGGACTGACCGAGTGCTGATGTCACCAAAGTGCCAATTCCGGAAAAAGCCGATTGGAACATAAGCTAGCTGGAGTCAATTTCCTTGGGGCAGTAACAGGGGCAGACGTTTTGCTAAGAAAATAGTTTATGCAGACTGGAGCTTCCCCCAGGAATGAAGTGATCTACTCCATGATCATAGAGAGGGACAAAGCACAGATTTCTTATGCCCAAAAAAATGAGAGGAGCTTAGGTTTTAATTTAAGGAGCTAGAAAAGTTAGAACGAAACTTGATCCAGAAGCCCTTGGGATCGTTGAGCTAGAGGGATAGCATTGTCTATCTACAGTATATACAGTCTATGATTGAGTTCAAACCAACTATTAAAAGGTGTGATGTGACACTTTTCTTTAGTTCTTTGCTCGAAAGAAAAAAACTAATCAGATTCCTTGCATTGTTTCGACACCACATTTAGACATCACTTGTTTGTCTCCAGTTTGTGAAGTGTGAAGCCATGCTGTGGCCCGTTCCTAACAATATGTTACTTATTGATCCTGCAAGTTTTACAGAACATACAACACATGGTGCCTTTTCTTTTCACAACAATAAGACCTCTGACAAACAAAATAAAAAAAAACTTTATTTTGCACGTGAGAGATTTAACTTAAATTTCACCCCAACCTCTTCCCCAATCACTCAAACCCATTGTAAATAATATATTTTTTTTCGTACATCCATGCATCTGATTTTTAATATTGTTAGCTATTTAGAATGATCAATTTTATTTTTTATTTTTGCTGCTACTGGACATTTGAATTTCTCCTACAAGGATTAATAAAGTATCTATCTATCTATCCATCTGCGTTACAACATTTTCGTGTTGACTCAAAACACATTTCTGTTTCTGAAGTGGTCCTTGAGAACAATGTCTGAAAATAATATGTATCTTCTGTGGTCTTCATCCGCCGACACAAAAGAAAATCAATTCTGATCAATATTGATATGGAACCAAGCGAAAAGCAGAGCCCGAGCCAGAGCATAGCACACGAAGATCTGTTTATTCCATTTTCACAGACAAAAAGAATTGCTAAATCTCTTGAATCACTTCTCTTCAAATGGATCCAGCTGGCACCAGTACCACTCACAGCTGCTGAATCCAAACCAAAAAACTAATGAAGAGCGTCCAGTTGTGGTGAGGATTAATGGGTGCTTGATGAGTTTATAGTGGATAGAATATGTAGTGAATATCGCAGCGACAATGGTGACGTCCAATTAGCAGCCAGTCCTCTGCTCTAATTGAAAAGAGGTTGTTATAGCTACAGATGAGACCCACTGGGACCATTGAACGTTACCTTGGATAAAGTCATTAGTTAAAAGTGGTCATAGGGAGCTGCAAGACTGAATGTCGGCGATACGATGTTTGAAATGTCCATATTGATCCAAAACCATGTAATACCGTCTTCTACACATATTCAGTCAGAGTATGGTTTTGTGCATTGCCTCTTCACACAATGTCAGTGAAATCAATGTGTTATTTTTTCCCCCCACTTATAACCGACTCTGAAAAGAAATGGATAAAAACAAAGCGGCCTCCGAGCAGAGCCATGGAACCACAATGCTGTCTCAAGTATAAGATAATAAAAACATGCATGAACCACTTCAAAAACAACTTAAAGGTATATGAGGATTTTGTACTGAATCCTGTACTTGAGTGGATCATGAAAACTATTGGTCCTCCCAATTGTCAATCATTCTGGTGATACGTGCTCGTCAAATAAGACCAGAGAGTTTTGGTCCTAAAATTTGGGACAATTCTTCTAAATACCTAAACTGTGAAAAAGCAGTGAAAAGTGTATTTACTTGTTATGTCCCTGAAGTGTTCAATTTTAGGTAACGAGTTAGATGAAAGCAATTACAAATATAAAGTGCTGCAATTATTTTTCATAAATGCCATAATTTATCCAATGTTATAAGGATAAATTAAATCCTTCAGAGCTGCTGATGCTTGGGTAGCAATATATTAAAATTTGGAACTTAAAGACATATAAAAGTGGGCCAATAACATTCCAGGTCAAAAAATAAAAAAATAAAAAAACATTTATAGTATTTATTTTATTTTATTTATTTATTGCATTGAATGGTACAATGCTACTTATGTAAAAACACTGGGATTAGCTCGCCTAGTTGCATTTGCATATAAAACTTGGTAACCTTGAAAATGATTTAACAGAGACAAAGAGAGAGAGACAATCCATCTGTTTGTAAAACTATTACTACCAAACGAAGTGAGCACATCGTTTGCACCTATTGTATTCATTCACCGCTGAACCGACCTGCCTGTAATAAAATGCACTTGTACTTGTAGAGAAAAGATTATTTCAGAGATCCAGTTCTGAATGTTAATGCGCAGCCTGCCAAAAAACCTGAGATGTTTTCCTCGTAATTCCGCCTTGAGCTTTCTGTCTCAAACAATCTATTTCCCTTTCTGCAAATCCCCCTTGGATTATTGTGCAGATAAAAGTGTCGTTCGGCTTTCTTTTCTATCGCCCGCGTCTTTGTATGCAAGTAAGTCTCACAGTATGGTAAAAAACCAAAACTAGTCCATTGAGAGAAAGAGCTTATACAAGACAAGTACAAGACAAGTGCACATGATGGAGGACTAAGGTGGAGTAATGTATAATGAAGATCACACAAGAGATTCTATTGTATATGGTTATCAGATATATGATCTGTAATCAGTACACACATCTAAAGGTATCGATGACATTACAGTGATTTAAAAGCTTTCAGGAGAGCTCAAACTCACATGGTAGATGTTGGTGTATGCCACTCTGTTAAACATAAACACAGCTTGTGAATATGTATAAAACAGTTAAACAAATACATTAAAGGAAAACTAAACTCCAGTGCCCAGCCTTACTACATGGACATTTTAAAACTCTCTCTTAAAAGGGCGTTGCCTGGAGAACCAGAGGGGGGGTTAGAGTTGGGCGGGGTCTGGGCTGTGATTGACAGCTCGCTTGTCACACAAAAGAACAGACAGTTGTCATTGCTGCTTAAAGCAATAGTTTATAGAGTTCACAGAAAGTCTCATTCCACCCTTGTTTACACACTAAGATAATTGTAAAGCTACACACCTGAACCTAAGCCACAGAATTATCTCAGCAGTAGTGGCGGTCAATTGATGTAATTTAATATTTAACCACTAGATGTCGCCAGAATACTCCAACTTGCTACTGGGCCGTGTGTGAGACTTGGACAGTCGTAGAGAGACACACGTCACACACACTAACTGACGTCACACACTACTCCAGAGCCAATGGCGAGGACAGAACCAAAATTCCAAATGACGTATCACCAAAAATGATGAGACGCCGCTACACAGACGGTTTTATGTTCAAAAGTGAGATTTTATCTAATTTGCACCAAAATGTCAACAAATTCA